CTTAGGCAGTTCTTTATAGCAGTGTGAGAATGGACTAATACACTGTTTTTTTGAAATAATTAATAAAATAGATAGACCATTAGCTAGACTAATAAAGAAGAAAAGAGAGAAGTTTCAAATAAACACAACCAGAAATGACAAGGGGGCATCACCCCTGACCCCACAGAAATATATTTGTATTTCCCTATAGAAACATGTTTATAGTTCTCTATAATTTTTATATTATTCTCTGTACCATCAGAAAATAATATAAACACCTCTATGCACATGAACTAGAAAATCGAGAAGAAATGGATAAATTTCTGGACACATGTATCCTCCCAAGACTATACCAGAAAGAAATTGATTCCCTAAGCCAGACCAATAATGACTTCAGAAAATGAGGCAGTAATGAATAGCCTACCAACCAAAAGAGCCTAGGACCAGACAGACTCACAGCTGAGTTCTACTAGAGGTCCAAAGAAGAGCTGATACCATTCCTATTTCAACTATTCCAAAAAATTTAAAAGGAAGGACTCCTCTCTAACACATTCTATGAGGCCAAAACCTGGCAGAGACACAACAACAACAGCAACAAAAACTTCACGCCAATATTTTTGATGAAAATCTATGCAAAACTCCTCAGCAAAGTACTGGCAAACTGAATCCAGCAGCACATCAAAAAGTGCATCTGCTGCAATCAAGTAGGCTTCATCCCTGAGATGCAAGGTTGGTTCAGTATACACAAATCAATACATGTGATTAATCACATAAATAAAGACAAAAACCACATGATTATCTCAGTAGATGCAGAAAAGTACTTCAATAAAATTTAACATCCCTTCATATTAAACACTCTCAGTTAAATAGGTTTTGAAGGAACATACCTCAAAATAATAAGAGTCATCTATGACAAACCCACAGCTAGTATCATACTGAATGGGCAAAAGCTAGAAGCATTCCCCTTGAAAACTGGCACAAGACAAGGATGCCCTCTCTCACTGTGACTATTCAACATAGTATTGGCTATCCTGACCAGGGCAATCAGTCAAGAGAAAGAAATAAAGGGTATTCAAATAGAAAGAGAGGAAATCAGATTATCTTTGCAGATGTCATCATCCTATACCTAGAAAAAGTCATCATCTTAGCCAAAAAGATTCTTAAGCTGATATGCAACATCAGCAAAGTCTCAGGATACAAAATCAATGTGCAAAAATCACAAGCATTCCTATAAACCAACAACAAGCAATCAGAGAGTCAAATTACGAATGAACCACCCTTCACAATTACTGAAAATAACATAAAATACCTAGGACACAGCTAACAAGGGAAGTGAAGGACCTTGTCAAGAGCTACAAACCTCTGCTCAAAGAAATCAGAGATGACATAAATAAATGAAAAAACATTCCATGCTCATGGATAGGAAGGATAGGAATAATCAACATGAAAATGGCCATACTGCCCAAAACAATACATAGATTCAATGCTATTCCCATAAAACTACCATTGACATTCTTCAGAGAAATTTTTAAAAACTATTTTAAAATTCACATGAAACCCAAAAAGGGCCTAATGACCAACACAATCCTAAGTAAAAAGAACAAAGCTGGAGGCATCACACTACCCAACTTCAAACTATACTGCAAGGCCACAGTAACAAAAACAGCATGGTACTTGTGTGAACAGACACCTAGACCAACGGGACAGAGTATAGAACTCAGAAATAAGACCGTACACCTACAACCATCTGATCTTCAACAAATCTGACATAAACAAACAATTCGGAAAGGATTTCTTATTCAATAAATGGAGATGGGAGAACTGGCTAGTCATATGCAGAAAACTGAAACTGGACCCCTTCCTTACACCATATACAAAATCAACTCAAGCTGAATTAAAGACTTAAACATAAAACCAAAAATTATAAAAACTGTGGAAGAAAATCTAGGCAATACCATTCAGGACATGGGCAAAGGCAAAGATTTCATGATGGAGATACCAAAAGCAATTGCAACAAAAGCAAAAATTGACAAATGGGATATAATTAAACTAAAGAGCTTCTGCACAGTAAAAGAAACTATCATCAGAGTGAACAGACAAACTACAGAATGGGAAACAGGTTTTGCAATCTATCCATCTGACAAAGGTCTAATATGCAGCTTCTACAAGGAACTTAAACAAATTTACAAGATAAAAACAAACAACCCCATTAAAATATGGGCAAAGTACATGAACAGATAGTTCTCAAAAAAAGATATGCATGTGGCCAACAAGCAAGGAATAAAAAGCTCTACATCCCTGATCATTAGAGAAATGCAAATCAAGACTGCAATGAGATATCATCTCAAAATGATTATTATTAAAAAGTCAAAAAACAACAGATACTGGTGAAGCTGCAGAGAAAAAGGAAAGCTTTTATGCTGATGGTGGGAGGGTAAATTAGTTCAATCATTGTGGAGGACAGTGTGAAGACTCCTCGAAGATCTAGAGGCAGAAATACCATTTGATCCAGCAATTCCATTACTGAGTATAAAACCCAAAAGAATATAAGTCATTCTATTATAAAGATACATGCACACATATGTCCATTGCAGCACTATTCACAATAGCAAAGTCATGAAATCAACCTAAATGCCCATCAATGATAAACTGGACAAAGAAAATGTGGCACATATACACCATGGAATACTATGCAGCCATAAAAAGAGATGATACCTTGTCCTTTGTAGGACATGGATGGAGCCGGAGGCTATTGTCCTCAGCAAACTAATGTAGGAACAGAAAGCCAAATACCACATGTTCTCACTTATAAGTGAGAGCTGAATGATGAGAACACATAAACACATGGGGAGGAAAAACACACACTGGGGCCTGTCAGAGGGTTGAGTGGGGAGGAAGGGGAGCATCAGGAAGAATAGCTAATGGATACTGGCCTTAATACCTAGGTGATGGGATGATCTGTGCAGACAACCATCACGGAACACGTTTACCTACGTAACAAAGTTGCACATCCTTCACATGCACCCATGAACTTAAATTTAAAAAAAGAGAAAGAGGTACCATTACTTGGCCAAAACTATAATTTTGAATGCCAGTACCAATATTGCAGATCTTCACTTTAGCTTTATGTAAATCCTAGCTACATCATCAACAGACAGACCTACATTGTTATTGTCCATTAAAAAACAACAACTGGTTCAGGAATGGTGGCTCATGCTTGTAATCTCAGCACTTTGGGAGGTCAAGGCAGGCAGATCATTTGAGGTCAGGAGTTTGAAACCAACCTGGCCAACATGGTGAAACCCTCTCTCTACTAAAAATACAAAAAATAGCCAGGCGTGGTTGGGGGAGCATGTAATCCTAGCTACTCAGGAGGCTGAGGCAGGAGTATCACTTGAGCCCGGGAGGCGGAGGTGGCAGTGAGCAGAGATCATGCCACTGAACTCCAGCCTGGGTGACAGGGTGAGACTCTGACTCAAAAATAAGTTAATAAATTAAAAAATAAAAATAAAAAATAACAACAACAACAACCCCACATAAAACAATAACTTCTTTAAATTCAGATCTTTCAGCAGCCAACATTTCATTTCTCTGTGTTCTTTCTCTCTAGTTAACTGTAGTCAAAATATTTACTTATGCCTTTCGTTCTTTCTTTACCTAGAAAATTTGTCTTTTCCTTCCACTGAATGGAAATTAACAGTAACCTCCATGCTATTAAGGCCAATATTTGCCCCTCCGTCTTCATCTTACATGACATTTAGAGGAATTCAACAGTTGACAACCACTTTTGTGTCCTTGATTTCTGTGATACTACACTTTCTTCATTTTCTCCTACTCACTATTCACGACTACTTAATCTCCATTTTAGTCTTCTCTCAGTCTCGTTTCTCAACTTCCATAATAGAACGTTCTACTTAGATGTTTAATAAGCAGAATTATCCATGTCCAAACTGATCTCTAGAGTTCCCCCTAAAGTCTTCTCTATTTCTGAAAATGACACTAATGTCCATTTGGTGCTGAAACCCAAATCCTAGGGCTCATTCTTTATTTCTACTCTTTTCTTCTTACGCTATATCCAACCTGTCATAAGTCATGCTGAATGTACCACAAAAATAATTTCCTTAATTGAAATATTTCTCTGCATCTCCCCTGATAACCACCTCATACAAGCAGTACTATCTCTCACCCAAACTATGCAGAAGTTCTGCTGCGACTCTCATATCTACGCAAGTAATTCTTGAAGTCTCAATGCACTTGTTAAAAATAAGATGATAAAGCCATACAGTTTAATGCGTTCCAACAGCTTCCTATTCTTAAAAATAATATCTAAACAATTTGGCATGCCGTGCAGGATCCCACAGGATTTGGGCAATTTCCACCTCTTGGATTTCATCTTTTGTCTTAATAACCCACAGTATTTATGCACAGCGGCATCCTTCCTGTTTCTTGAGCATGCTTTTTGTCTTCAATGTTCTCTTCCTATGTAATCCCATTTCTATCATGTTTTCATGGCTAATTCCTTTTCATCACTCAGATCTCATCTTAAATATTTTCTCCTCAGAACAGGCTTTCATCACTACACATTCCAATATTGGCCCTGCTGCCTTTGAACAGGACATATTAACCTATTCCCCTTATGATATTAATCTACTCAACTGGTTCACATTTATTATTTGAAGTCATTCATTTTTGCTTAGTTGTTTTAAAATAAGAATAATAAATGCTATGTTGTCTGATACCTCCATTAGGTCATGAACTTAATGAGCTTAAGGATCTCATCTACTTGTTCCCTGCTATAGGCCAAAGACTAGTATAGCACCTTGTATAGCAGAGGTGTTTAATAAATATTTTTTGAATGAATAGGTATTGCATTATATACCAATGGTTATACATTAAGAATGAATTGACAACATAATATGAGCTCTTTTTATAATTTACATTTTAAAGAATTGAGCAACATGAACGCTTTCCTAATGGGAACATCCATAATGGAAAGAACAGTACTGAGAATCAGAACATACCTAAGTTTAAACTGAGGACCAGCTTGGCTTTCTTCAGTTCCAAGGTAATGTAATCTCCTTGCTGTCCTTCTCCGTGCAAGATTACTCCTTCACTTTCAGACGTCTTAAATTTCAAGGCAATGACATCTTTCAGTGTTTTCATCTTCTTGTTTCTGAATCTATATGGTAATACAACATGGCCATCAAAGTTGATAACATCAGCCCCTAAAACAAACAAACAAAAAAATTAGTTTAGTCACCTATGTTACCATCCACTTCCAATAGGTGTCTGCAAAGAATAAATGAGAATTAAATAAGTGTTTTTCTTGAAAAATTGTCAGTCCTTTGTTTTTATTCTATTCCTTGTTTTGATTTACTGTTTTTTTTTAAAAGGAGGTTTTATGGATAGTATTGATAGAAATACTCATAAAAGCTCTATCAGTTGAACATTTTACTTTAATTACAAAATTAGTAATATAAATTCAATGGGTTATATGCTTCAAATCTTAACTTAGGAATCTAGCGTTTAGCCCAAAATAGTAAAATTTTTAAATCTCTAACAGATTATGAGACTTAAATGTTTTATTCCTTAATGATAATTCCTCATGATTTAAGTATATATTTTATTCAAAAAGTTGCTTTCTTTGATATAAAAATGAAGGCACTTGGAATGTGATCTTTTATACTACTCTCATTTTTTTTTCCTAATGGTTTTTATATTTCACCACAATTTTAGTAAACCTTGTTGTAGTATTCAGAGTTTACAACCAACTTAATTTTCAGAAACTTCTTAACATTTATTCTTAGGAATCAGTCTGTCTCAAATTTCTTATTACTTCCTTGCATTTGGAATGGAGAATTGGGCACCATTGTTTGTTTTTTGTCTACATTGGACACAGATATCTCCACTTATCCATGTATGAGTTTGAAGAACAAATAACCAGCATATACTATGACTCCAGCAGCTCTAATTTTAGTTTTAGGGGAATATATTAAAATGAGGAAAGTATGTAATCTTTTTTAAAAAAAAAAAAAGTGAAATTTTGTCACTATGATCTGAAATATGATTGTGAGGATCCATTTTATAACTACTATTTATTTCACACCAGAAATAAAAATGAGATATTATTTATTAGGCACTATTGGTCAATGTATTCTCAATTCATGGAATGATTCAAAAATACAATGTTCTAGGGTACATGTGCATAACATGCAGGTTTGTTACATATGTATACTTGTGCCATGTTGGTGTGCTGCACGTCTGCTTCCATTGGAGGCTGAGAGATCTCTTCCACTATCAAAGAAAACGCATCCATTTTGTAGGAACTCAATGTCTGTTTTCACTCTATGGATTTGCCTATTCTGGACATTTTGTATAAATGGGATCATACTAAATATGGCCACTAGTGTTTGTCTTATTTTACTTAGCATAATATTCCCAAGGTTTATTCATGTTGTAGCATGCATCAGTACTTCATTATTTTTAATGATCAAATAATTTTTATTTGCATGAATATACTGTATGTTGTTCATCTATTCATTTGTTGATGAACACTTTGATTGTTTCCATATTTTGGGTACTGTGAATAAAGCGGCGATGAATATTGTCAAACAAACAAACAAAAAAAAACAAAAAAACACAAAAATACAATGTAACCATTCAGGTCAAATATTGAGTTCAACTAGAAGCTTCGTTACCATGATCAAATCTTCATTGTTAAAAATATTTTCAATAGACTATTTCAGTAAGCTTTTCATTTTTAAATCATAGAAAGCGTAGTCAAATGGAACAGCTCTAATAACTTTAGAATTACAAGCCTGGAGAAAGCTAGCCTCTAGGTTTTGGGCAAGGTCTGGTTAAAGAACTCCAGAGGGAGACATTAGAGAAAAATAATAGCCAGTTTAAAGCCTGTCAGAGAAATATTTTCTCATTTCATGTCCTAGTTCTCTGGCACTTGTTTACTTCAATCACCACCAGAAACACTTTGGTTTGCCTTGTGAGTGGAGCATACCACCAAATAAATCCCTGTGGTGGCCACAGAAGAGATGTAGAGCTCCCAGAAACACATCCACTCTTTGTTTGTGTTGAATTTACCTCATCCTATAAAGTGAATTGTTGTGAATACAGTCACTTTGAATATTACTTGAAATGAAATCTAAGCTTGCCTTTCAAATCATTGATGGCTTTCACATACTTTGAAAATATTTATGCTAGTATCTCAAATATTTATGCTTTTACATAAGTTTGTACAATGTTACATTATAAAACATTCAGAAAAAATATGACTTTAAGTTTTAATTCTTATAATCAGCTCTTTATTGCCCATAAAAAGACTTTCTTAATCAACAGAATTTTGTTCTCTGAGACTGTGAATCACAGAGGTTTATTTTAATACGAGGGAAAAAAAATCAACTGTTAAATTTTGGCTTCTGCTAACACTGCAAAGCCAATTAGACTTTAGCTTAATCATATATACTGTCACAGCTGAATTTCAATGGCAGTATCTTTATCATCTGCAATGAGAAATAAAGGAGAGAAAAAAAAGGAATTTGATTTTCAGATTGCAGGTTGAAGTTATAATCCAGCAGGTGATACATACTTTTTGTCTTGAAAAGTCGATAAAAGAAACACAGATGAGAGTCAATTCTGAACTCTAGACAGTAGTTTTGCAGTCAATTTCCTATCAGTGACAGTTAAATAATAGACACATCATTGTTTTAAACACCTTCAGCATATTTTAATTGACATAACATAGCTCTAATTCATCTCTCAGGAAGTAAATGTTCCCTGAGCTTGTACTCAGGGAACAAGAATCACCTCCTCTATACTTTCTTCTAAATCAAAACACATTTAATTCTAGGTACAGAATACTGATTTATGCAAATGTTAATGCATTTCTGTCTTACTTTTAGAGCAATGAGAAAATGTGACAGAAAGGTTGAAGATGGCTTATTTTTTTTCAGACAATCCTAAGATATTAATAAAAACAGGAAGGAAAGCTATTCATGTAGACCAAGTCTCACTTTACAAATGGTAAGTAGTCAGGGTCAGCTGGGAAACAAAATGCTCTGTGAGGTAGATTCTCCACAGAGAAAAACAAAAAGTTTCAACATATTTTCCCGTCTATCTAGCCATCTATCTAAAACAAAATGAAAAGTTGTTTTCTAGGAAAGGATTAAATGCTTCCAAAATATCAGCATGTCCTCTTGTGGATATAAGCTCAGAGCTGGCTTGAAAATTATAAAATTTCTAGAAATAATCTATGATATTTACACTTTAACACACACCATGCACTTTTTAAAATGTCTGGGATATTCTATAATAATGTAAAGAACATTCATCACAGTTTAGCTCTGTTTCCTACAAAAATAGATTAAAATTTCATTTGATACCTAATAACGCATTGTGCTTATTTGGGGACAAGCCACGTTTTTCTTCTATTATCCTGATTGCTCATCACTCCCTAGAATTAAGTTTTCTATGCAGTGATTAAATATGTATGGTTGAACTGTTTAAGCAATCTGAACAATAACGGCCAGTCAAAAAGTGAATGCAAAATCATAGTGTTTCCACAATTTTGTTCCTAACAATAGCTCAGCAAGCTGGTAATATGCCCAGTTCATCAAATCATGGTAGAAAGGGCTTTTTCAAAAACATTTTATTGTTCCTTAGTCTTCACTTTCTAACTTTGAATAAGACAATTTGAAAAAGTGTTTACCATATAAAGATTTTAATATTAAAATTTTAAGTTTAATATTTTAATATTAAAAGATAACTTTGTTATATACTTTATTACAAACTATGTTATTGCTCAAAATAAATTAAACAATACAGAAATATAGAAAGTAGAAAGTGAATCCCAACCACAAAAGGTCACCAGTGTTAATGCGTACTTAATTGGTGCATATCCTACATTTTACATATTTACCTAAATATCTATCCAACTATCTAAGGTATGGAATAATTCATATATATCTATATTTAAAGATATACATAGATATATCTTTATCTATAGATACAGATATATCTTTATATATAGATACAGATATAGATACACACCTCAGATATAGATATAGATATAGATAGATCTATCTATATATAGATAGCTACAGATAGATCTATCTATCTATATATCTGAGGGAGGAAGGGAGAAGAATAAAGAGAGTGAGAGGGAGAGAGGGAGAATTTCATTTCATTTAGTCATGGTCCAAATTGTACACTAATAATTTGAGTTTGGGGTGATATAATATTTATAGTACAGGGAAACTTCATGTTTTAGTTAATTAATATGTTTTATTAATCTTCATAAAAGGCCCCTATAAAAGTAAGAATATATAATGTGAAACTGTAGTCTATTTATCTGAAAAAATTAAAAAGTATTTGAGTATAGCATACCAACAAGTAAGTATTCAAGAGTTACTTTTAATACCGCTTCCCTATAAAATTTTTTCAGTTACTTTTATAGGGGATCTGAAAGAAACAGAAAGGTTTAAAGAAAAAAAATTAAACAGGCATTATTTCATTTTTTTTCTGAAATAACCAATGATAATATACTATTTGTGATTATTTTAAATTGCATATAAAGAATCTTTATATATGTACACGGATACACATATGGATAATACTGTATAAAGTTTGTGTTTGGTTTTTGTTACTGTACATTTTTTAAACCTTATTTCATAATTTTGTTTTCTAAAACAGGATTTTGATTAGCTAAAAAGGTACCATCATTTAAGTGTCCAACTTCTTCAATAAAAATTTTGATGGAAGTTTGTTTTTATTTTCATAAATAAACTTTTTATTTTGGAAAAATTTTAGATTTAGAGAAAAGCTGAAAAAGTAGTTGGAAAGATAGGGTTCTCATACCTTTTACCCAGCTTCCTCTAATATTAGCATTTTGCATAACCTGGTACATTTGTCCAAATGAAAATACTATCTTAAGTAAAGTGGTATTCCCTCAAATACAGATTATACTTGGATTTCACCAGGGTTTCACTAATGCTTTTTTGCTGCTGTTCTAGGACTCAATCCAGGATCTCTCATTGCATTTAGTTATGATGCCTCCCTAGTCACTTCTAATCTGTGACAGTATCCAATTCTTTCCTTGTCTTTCATAACTTTGATCCTCTAGAGGAGCACCAGCCGGGTATTTTGTAGCATCTTTCTCAGTTTGGATTTGTCTGATGTTTTCTTAGGACTAGACTGCATTATTGATATTTGGGGAGAATATCACAGAGTTGTGGAGGC